CCTCAGTTTATTTCTCCAGGATAAATTTTTGTGGGTAAAAATTCCAAATATTTTATTGTTATACATTACCATTAATCCTTGATTTTTTTTTTTTTTTCCATATGCCCCACTGCTGATTGTGACCTTTTGGCAGGTTATTTAGTCTCTGAAAGTTGTGAAACATGTGAGAGCAGGTTGAAAAGATGCATTGTGCTCCTTTGTCTCCCATTCTTTTTTCTCTTAATTTTCCTCCTGTTTTCTAATAGGGGTTCCCCAAAGTTGAGTCCTCTGCCCTCATTTTTCTTTCATGCATCAGCCAGCATCTCTAGGTGGGTCACTACCACATCTCTCTCTGTCCTGGAGCTCCCTGCTCATCCTGGCATCTCTGTTCTGCAGATGTTTGTCTTGTGGATGCCCTGCTGGACTTCAAGATAAGTATGTCCCAAACTGATTTCTTCTCCCTCCTGAAACAAAGCTAGCATCTGCCCAGTGGCTTACCCTGAAGCCTTTGAAGTCATCTTACACTCACTTTTCATCCACGTATTCAGTTATTTCCTAAATCCTATTTGCTGTGCCTCAGTTATCTGCCAATTATTGTGGTTCGGGCTTTTGTTACCTTTCATTTAGAGACTCTTGTAATACTCTTCAGACTGGTTTCTTTGCCTTCAGTCTTGCTTCTTCATATCCTCTTCAGTCCATCCTGTGTACTGCTTCTGTGTCTGATTAATATTTTCCTGTTTAAAAGCCTTTGTCTTCCCATTGCCTGTGTAATAAAGTATAAACTCTTCAATCTGATGCTTGCTTTCTTTTGCAGTTTGTCTCATTCCTGTCTTACCAGACTTCTTATCACTATGCCTCCTCCTGACCCTGCCTCTTCTGGCTCAGTTATTTCCTCTCTGGGAAGTACACTTGTGTACCATCATCCACCCCCAAACCCAGATAATTTGAGCTATTAGTTTTGCTTTAAGGCCCAGCTTGAATTTCTAGTGCTTGTAAGACTTGTTCTGGCCAGGTGCAGTGGTTCACGCCGGGAATCTTAGCCCTTTGGGAGGCTGAGGCAGGCAGATTGCTTGAGCCCAAGAGTTTGAGATCAGCCTGGGCAATACAGTGCAACTCTGTCTCTACTAAAATACAAAAAATTAGCCAGGCGTGGTGGCATGCACCTGTCGTCCCAGCTACTTGGGAGGCTGAGGCAGGAAAATCACTTGAACCCGGGAGGTGAAGGTTGCAGTGATCTGAGATCGCACTACTGCACTCCAGCTTGGGTGACAGAGTGAGACTCTGTCTCCAAAAAAAAGACTTGTTCCTAATGTTCTACCTGGTCAAAATTACATCCCACCTCAACTCTTTGGCCCTGGGACCTTCACCACTGTTTTTTTTTTTTTTTTTTTTTGAAAAAAGTTAGAGTGTTTTTTGCTTGTTTATCCTGTGCTAATTCAGACTTTGCGCAGATTTAAGTTAATTGTATACCTCAGTTTATAGGACATTATAGGGATACCAAACCCCTTCCTTGTTTTGTTTTTTCTCTTGTTAATTACTCCCATGATCATCTTTCCTGTAGAAACACACCTGAATTATATATACTTGTCTACATAAACATGAGAATATAGCTGTCTTTCTCTTCTACAAAGGTTTTCAGTTTTGAGTATCTTCTGTCCTTTAATATTACTTTGCACAGAGCAGTGATAATAAATGTTTGGCTACCTGGAATTCATTGAAAATTATTAATGGGTTTATTTGCTTTTGAATTAATCACTGAGACTAAAATTCTGGAGATTAATTTTAGCTTTACTCTTCTATACCTACTCTGCAGTTCTGAACCTGACCCATCCTTTCTATTCCTATTGTAAATTTCAGACTCTTCATCAACTTTCCCCTCTGTTTTTGCAATTGCTTTTCAACTGGATCCTGCTTTCAGTGTCTCCTCAAATTATCTTTGTTTCTACAGTTATCTTAGAAAAATCCAGATCAGATCAGGCCACTTCTTCCAAAAATTTCAGAGGGGTCTCCAATGTTAACAAGATTTTGTCTTATTTTCCCCCTCTTTTCCTACTAAATAACTCTCTACAGCCTCTGCTGCAGCTGTATATTGTGACTTTTTTTTTTTTTTTTTTTTAGAGGGAGTATTGCTCTGTGGCCCAGGCTGGAGTGCAATGGTGAGATCTCTGCCTTCTGGATTCAAGCAATTCTCTCACCTCAGCTTACCAAGTAGCTGGGACTACAGATGCATGCCGCCCAACTAATTTATATATATATATATGTTTTTGGTGGAGATGGGGTTTCACTGTTGGCCAGGCTGGTCTCAAACTCCTGACCTCAAGTGTTCTGCCTGCCTTGGCCTCCCAAAGTGCTGGGATTACAGGCGTGAGCCACAGCGCCCGGCCCAGTGTGACTTTTTATGTGCATTTTTACTTGCAAAGCTTTGTGCCTTTATTTAGCCATTATTTGCCTTCTGAAATTCCGCTCATTCTTCACAACCTGTTTCCAGTGTTCAAATGCTGCATTCTCTGTGCCATGCTCTCACTCTTCCCTTTTTTTGCTTCCTTACTACTTTGCTCATATTTTTATTATAGTACTTACCTCCTTGTGGTTTGTATTAAACCTTGTATATATCTTTTTTCCTGATGCCTGCTTTGTTCTTTTTTCCACCAAACATATACACCTTGAATGTAGTAAGCAGATTGTAACTGTTTTGAATGATACTAAAGAAAATTGATCAGGGATGTGACAGGATAACTAATTCCTCAGTAGTGTTTTTGTAGAGCTTTACCAGCTTTATTTTTCAGATGTTATTTAATTAATTATTTTCTTGGGACAGTTTCTCGCTCTATCGTCCAGGCTGCAGTGCAGTGGCACAATCATGATTCACTGCAACCGTGGCCCCACTCAGGCTCAAGCAATCCTCCCACTTCAGCCTCCCAAATAGCTGGGACCACAAGTTCACACCACCATACCTGGCTAATTTATGTATTTTTGATCGAAATGGGGTTTCACCATGTTGGTCAGGCTGGTCTTGAACTCCTGGGCTCAAGTGATCTGCCTGCCACGACCTCCCAACGTTATAGGCTTGTGCCACTGGGCCCAAGCTATTTTTTAGATATTATCCAATGCTTTCTCTACAGCTGTCAGCACTGTACAGCTGCCCCTGTACAAATACTTTTTGAAATGATGTGAGTTTTTAAATCTGAGTTTTGTGATGATGCAAATATGCACATAATCATCATTTTTTATTTACTAACTAAACAGCTGTGCTTTTTGGAGAAGAAATCATTTATGTATATTATAATGAGATTGAAATTTTTTTAAAAACAGGATCTGGCTTGCTCAAGACTTCCAATTTTTAATTATATACTGTTCTTAAATGGACCACAACATTTGCTTGTAAATTTAAAATCTGTGGGTCTAGTGAAACAGTTGATGCGTAGGGTGTGGTTCCTGTTTTCTGTGAAAATTAATATAGACGTTAAAAATGAAGTCTTTGATTTTCATCAAACTCAAGATTGAGAGGCTGCTGCCACATCTAACTGCTGATCATATTCAGCTCAGTGCACATTGATGGCATTTATTGCAAGCATTTTTTTAGGTGCTGTTGCAAATACAAAGTTGTAGGAAATAATGTTCTTTTTTTGGTTTTGTTTTTAGGGACTTCCACATCTGTTGGGAACAAGCAGGTACACACATTTTTATGAAACACATAGACTATAAGTGCTATAAAGTGGTAGAATTAAAATGGTATGAGGAGTTACCTGGCCACAGGATATACCTACCCACAATATTTGGCCATGAGGCTATTGAACTGAGTGCATCGTGAAGAATTGGTGAGATTTCAGTAAATAGAGAAGAACAAGGGAGGGAGCTTAGAGGTAGGGAAGGAAGCCCAGGGCATATTCAGATAATAGCTAGTAGTTTGGCTTGACTATAACAAAGAGAATGTAGAGAAAGAGGTAAAACTGGAAAGATAGATTGCAGCAGGCTAGGACTTGACTGTGAAGGGCTTTGAAAACCAGGTTAAGGATTTTAGATTTGATTCCGTTGACCAAGGAATCTGGTTTCTGAATAGAGTTACCCAATTATAGCTGTAGTTAAAGAATATTAATCTTGCTTTGTGTAGGATGGTTTAAATCAAACTTGTCCGATCTGCAGCCCACAGGCTGTATGCAGCCGAGGACAACTTTCAACGTGGCGCAGTACAAATTCGTAAACTTCCTTAAAATATTATGAGATTTTTGTGTGTGTGCGATTTTTTTTCTTTAGCTCATCAGCTGTCATTAATGTTAATGTACTTTATGTGTGGCCCAAAGCAATTATTCTTCCAGTGTGGCCCCAGGGAAGCCAAAAGATTGGACACCCCTGATTTAAATGGTAAAGTTTTAGAGGGCTTGTTTAGAACTTGAAGTTCGTATTGGTTCCCTTCTACCCCTCTAAAGATTTTTTTAACCTCCAATGTGATTGTTCTGATTTTCCAAACTTATTTTCTAAAATCTTCAATTGACTTAGTTGTTCTTACATACTATGATGAATTTCTCTATCAAATCTAACCTATTTGAAACTGCCTTTACTAGTACCCTAAATTAATCATAGCTTTGCCTTTTACTTTCTTTTAGTGTTTGAAGAATCATTTTGAGTATATCTTTTGCTTATTACCATATGTATGTATTTTTTTCTCTTAGTTTGTCAGTGGCTATACCAAATACATAATATAGGTCCATATGCAAAAAATACATCTGCCATATTTATTTCTGAAGGTCAAGGTATAATGAAAAGAATATGCATTAAAAAAAAATTAGTAGACTGGGCACGGTGGCTCATGCCTGTAATCTGAGCACTTTGGGAGGCCAAGGTGGATGGATCATCTGAGGTCAGGAGTTCAAGACCAGCCTGGTCAACATGGTGAAACCCTGTTTCTACTAAAAATACAAAAATTAGCTGGGTGTGGTGGCAGCCATCTGTAATCCCAGCTACTCAGGAGGTTGAGGCAGGCGAATTGCTTGAACTCGGAAGGCAGAGGTTGTAGTGAGCTGAGATTCTGCCATTGTCTGGGTGACAAGAGTGAAACTCCGTCTCAAAAACAAAACAAAACTATGATGCCATTTGATAATTGCTTAGCTAGTTAGTTCATGACTCAATTTTTTTTTTTTTTTTGTAAAATGAAAGTAATGATCACTTAACAAAATTGAGATTATTAAATGAAAGAGTATGATGTGGATGTGTTATCCAAATGTGTAGGTGCTGAGTAAATGTTACTTCCTTTCTTTCTTGGCTGAGACTGTAGAATAAGTCTACTTTTCAGTAATAGGCATATTTGGTGCTTAGGAGACTTTAAAAAAAAATTGACCTCTCTCTAAATGTGATTCAGAATTTTCAAGTTTCAGTTTTTCTCAATCCAGTAATAAATTTAAAATTAACATATTAAAGGTTTTCATTTATTTGGAATATTCTCAGGAGGTTTTGGTAAAGAAAAAAATGGAAAAAAATTTTTTTTTTCATACCAAAGAAATGAACCTCTTCCTTTGATCACTCATAATTTCTATAAGTTGGCCACAGTGGGCAGAAATCCTAGTAGAAAGGGACAGAAAAAAATGTTGGCCTCTCTTTTTGATGGAATAAAGTTTACTAAAATTTCAAATATAATTTGCTAAATTTTCAAGTGTTTCTTTTTTGATTTATCATCTTAATGGTTTATCGAGACCCTTACCAAGAACTACCTCATTATTTTGGTTACTAAATTGTAGAACTTTTGAAAGTAAGAACTGTCTTGTCCCTTGCACATGGTAGGTACTCAGAATATATGTTCATTTGACTTAGATGTGTTAAGAGAGGAATAGTTTGCTTTAATATTATACATTTGCTCAGAAGGATGTATCTCTGGTAGTTTATTGCTGTTTGTTTTTACCTTCATTCTCCACTTGCTTGTTAGTCTCTCCTTTTCCTTTTACATTTTCTATAAAGTCTCAATCCAGCAGTAATAAGGATTTTAAAATCTTGAGATTAAAAGTCATAAATTTGATTAAAAATTGTAGGCAAGTAAGTCTACAGTAAACCAGAAAATATGGCTCATTTACTATCAAAGACTCACTATTTTAAGGACAGAAAGGGGTTTAAAAATTATTTACGTTTTCTTTTTTTCTTTTTCTTTCTTTCTTTTTTTTCTTTAAAGGAGGAAGTAATTTGTGGGAAATCGCTTATTTAGTGTCTGAACCAAGATTAGAATCCAGGTCTTTTAGTTCATAGTTCATTGGTTTTCCACTACAAAGTACAGTTGAATACTGAAGCTCGCTGATAGCAGATATCATGGGTATATGTAAGAAATAAAATTAGATGAGTTTTCATTTTAAACTCAACTCTAAGGATGAGATAAGAAGTATTGATTTCCAGTAGGGAGAACTAGGACATAGTAGTCCATGACATTTGGTCTCTCTTCTCAATTGTAAGTGGGATTCTGTGTCTTTTTAAAGAGTTTTTTTTCTCTTCTAGTATTACATTTTTAACAGGTGGTAGACACCCCACCGAATAACATCTTTTAAAGTAACATGAATAACATGTTACTTTAAAAGCAAGATGTTACCAAAAGACTAGGATGGAGCTTAGACAGTGTAAATGCAGTTCTTGTCTGCAATGTGAAGAAGATAACTTGAAACCTTTGATTATTTATTCTTAAAAGTCGGTATATAAAAGCTGTCTTTATGAAAGATGTGTTTCTGCTGTAATTCTTACGTTTCAACTGTGAATTAACACTGCCAGACACTGCTGGAAAACAAGATAAAGAACATTTAAAAAAAAAAAAGTCAAATGGAAAACTGTTGAAATTAGTAGAATTCTATGAAGAACCTGAATGTGAAAAGAAACAAATACCAATAGTTTTTCTATTAACAGTTTTAACTAATTAGAAAACATACTGTGGAAAAGAGCTTAGATTCAAAGTGCCAACAAAAAGTATACAAAATCTGGGAGCCTATTTAAGAAGTGTAACTATCTTGCAGAAGAAACATACAAAATTACTATGCCAAAAGATTTGAAGCCTTGGGAAGAGATACTACCACCCTCAAATGCTCAAAACTGTAAAGATGTTAATTCTAAATTAATTTATGGATATAATGTGAGTTCCATCAACTTATCAGTGGGATTTTATTTATTTATTGTAATTTAAAAAATGGTTCTAAACCTTAGCTGCATGTTAGAATTATCTGAGGAGCTTAAAAAATATTTTGGTGCACAGGTCTTACCCTGCATACCCCTGACCAATAAAATTAGACTATCTGGAGAAGAATCTAGGTATCAGTATTTTTAAACCCTTGATATTTATCAGCAGAGTTCATTGTTCTTAATTTTGGGTTTTGGATTTCTTTTCTGAGTAGTTCTAATTATTATATTGATTCATATTTTATAATCATTTCTTAGAATCTTCCAAAGAACAAAAACAAAATTTACTTATTTTAAAAAGTAGAATAAAACTCATTCTAGCTTGCAGTTACCGTATGGTTTCATTGGGCATGTATAAATCTAAGATATATTATAGGATCTTAGTGATTTTGCTTTTCCTAAATCTTCAAGCATTTTGCTATTTCATTTTCCTACAAATTATTAATCATTACTCACTAATTTCCCCCAAGTATGCCAACACGAAGAAAATGGAAGAGTGGTAGAATTGCCAAGTAGGGTGATGCAATGGTGAAATATAGCATCACTACTGTACCATCTCTTAAAAAGATAGGAAAACAGTTTTGAGATAATCCTTTTTAGCATTTTTGTTCAAGCCTTTGTTTAACATATTTGAGAATTCATATTTTTTTCATTTTTTATTTTCTGTCTTTAATAGCAAAGAAAAGGCAAAGGAAGATATTTCGGAACTATTAGACAAATCAAGATAAATGCAAAGAAACAACACATATTAATGATAGTGAATTTAATTGCATAAGTGAAATCTTAGACTATGGGTGTTCAAATGATGATTTCCTAGATGAGTTTTTAAAACTCAAGAATTAACAGTATTTCTAAGGACAAAATATGAAAACATTACAGGTTCATGCATTCAAAGTTTCATTCAAAGGATGTTGCCTATTTTGGATATATATACCTTTAATATCAGGTGGAATTAAAAAATTTGTCATGTTTAAGTTTTTATGAAGCTTCTTTGAAAGCTTTTTTAAACTACCCCTTTATTATTTTTGTAAATTAGTCATAAAATTCCTTAAAATATTAAAAATAAAGAGTATTTTGAACCCAGATAGTCAATTGAGGTGAACATTTTTTTCCTGATATGCCAAAGGTTAAATCTGCCTTGTGATTCCAGTGTGAAGCTAAGGATGAGAACCACTATTCTAAGTAGATTTTATCTGAACAAATAAACAAAATTAGATAAAATGTTTTTTAAAAAGTTTAGTAATGGTCTAGAATAGTCTACCAGATACATGGTACTGACATAGAATTATGAAACAGATTAATTGATTAAACCAGGTAGCCCAGAAGCAGATCTTAGAATATGTAAAAATTTAGTATGATAAAGTGACATAAATTAGTAGATTGGATTACTAATAGCATTAAGGCAAGTTACCACTTATTGAGTACTTGCTGAACATTTTATGTGCATTATCTCATTAATCTTTTCCTTGATAGTATGTGCTATTATTTCCATTTACAAGTAAGAATATCTGAGGTCACATAGTACTTGGTGTTTCTGGAACAATTAGCTCTTTTAGAATGCAAATATTTGGAAAGCAAAAAAGTATTTTTACCTATGCCAGAATAAATTTTAGTTGGATGAAAGAATTAAATGTAGAGTTTGTGTCATAAAGCATAGATAACAAATAGGTGCATCTGATACCTGGATAGGGAAACTTAGGAAGAAAATCACAAAAGATTTGTAAGTTTAACTGCTTAAGAAATACAACTGACTTCATGTCAGACACCATAAAACCATAGTAATAAACTGGAAAAACAAAACAGAAAAAGGATTAATAGCCTTATGTGTAAAATACTCATAGATTAATAGTCCCTAAATATGTAATCTTTAAAATGCAAGTGGTTAATAAACACATTAGAAAATCATTGACCTCATTAGGTAGTTGTGGAATAAAACATTCAGTTAAATTAAAAGTACTTTTCCTTCCTATCGTAGGACCTTTGTTCGTAGTATTTCCTTTTCATGGCTGACTCCTCATTCCTTAAGACTCAGTTTATAATACTACCTCCATGAGGCCTTTTTGTTCTACTCAATCTAAATGAATTTCCCCCTGTATCTTGACAACCTGCTTGTTTCCTTCATTGTACTTCATCTTTTGGAATTAAATATTTATTTGTTTATTTATTTATTTATGGCCTTTCTCTTCCACTGCCCTCCAAGCTCTGAGAAGAAAAGCATAATTCCCACTATCTAGAAAGTGCTCAATGAACAATTGTTGAGTGAGTAAACACACTGAATAAAAGTGAATAAAGTAAAACAAGATGCTTTTTAAAAAATCTGTCATGCTTGCTGAATTTTTTAAAGAAAAATGCCATATGTAGAACAAGGTGGAATGAATACTGTCATTGTGCTGCTTGGTAAATTGGTGTTACTTCCAGAATGGAAATTTTGTAAAAGGTAGCAAGAGTCTTTCATACCTTTTGACCCAGTAATTTTGCTTCTTGGAATTTGTTCTATGAAGCCACTTCTGCAAGGGGATGGGAAAGCTTTCTTTTTCATTCTTCCTATATTCACTGGTATTCTTTCCCAGGGAAAGTAGACATTAATCAAATTCGGCCATGTTTATAACTCTCTTCTGCTTCCTCTTTTGGTCCCCTTCAATGCGTAGGATACGGGAAGGGCTCAGTCCTTGGCTAAGCCCTGTGATCTTGTATTCCAGTCCTCTCACAAAAGTGTAGCGTTCCTACTGTTTGGGGCACCTCAGTGTGCTGCAGGTAAATTTATATTTGGGCTAATTTAGGGGAAGGGAGAGGCCTTGCTTAGGCCCTGAGCCAAAGGGTAGTGCTCTAATCCAGTTCACCAGAGAACATTATTTATGGTATCTAGCTGTAACCCAGATAAAAGCGGTACTTTTGATTTTCCTTATGATAACCTCTCCCCACTCCTTTCTTTCCTTGCTGCCTCCTATTTCCCTACCACCATTCTGTCTCGTGTGTGTGTGTGTGTGTGTGTGTGTGTGTGTGTGTGTGTGTGTACAGGGCAGCATTTATGTATTCCTGGGTTTTTTAGTTCAGTGCTTACCATCTTTTTTATGTCTGACGTATACAGGAAATATTTCGGGACCAAAAAGGATAATGGAAGGGGCTGCTTAAGGCCAAAGGTCTTATGTTTTGTGCATGCCCATTGTTGTTCAGATATAGGTCACAACCCATCCATCAATCAAGTGGGCTGCCAGAAGCATTAAAATAAATGAAAAGAATGCATTATTCATTGTTGAAATAATTATATTTGTAACCTTGCAATATGAAATATATTTATGTCGGTCATTGTCAGACTTGAAAGGTATTTGCTTTGCTGCAGCCAAATGCTAATTAATAATGCCCCAAACCTCACTTAAGTTGCATTATTCTTAAACAGGGAGAAAGATTTATGAACAAAGGTTTAGACTTAATATATTGAAAAATTTGGACAATGAAAGATTATCAAGAGACCAACAGGGTAAATCATGACATATCCATCCTTTCAGGTGATTTGTTCAAGTTAGTATTCCCTTATCTTTCTTCAGTATTTTTAGGGTTTGCAGTGAAGGTCCAGAGGTTTATAGCTTTCTTACAGTTCTTGTAGAGTCAGTGGCCACCGTTCTAAGGAACAATTAGTGTACCATAATATACTGTATAGCATCACAGAGAAATGAGATTTGAGGCCTGTTCTGCTGTGACAGCTTGGGCAAATTATTTAACCCCTTTTTGTCTGTTTACTCATCCATGAAATGGAGCTAATAGTGCATGTATCATAAGGTTGCTGTGAGAAGGAAATACAAAGTGCAAAGTTCTCAGCACATTGCCTGGACTGCCTATGAGTAGAGTTCATTCCAGGTTAAGTTTTGCTTTTACATTATTAAATCTCTTTGTGCCTTAATTTCTTCATTAGCTTATAATTCAGCTAATATTAGATACTTCTTTGGGGGACAATAAAAACTTCTGTAGTAACTTCATAGGCATTCAAACAGTTAAAATCAAAAGATAAATGTGAAAAGCACTGTACAAATTTATTAATAATTTTACTAATTCCCATAGCAGCAATAGGAAATCTGTGTTGTATATGAGTTAATAACTATATGTCCAAGTGGGTGGACTTGGTAGTTGATTCAGGTGGAGATAGATTTTTTTTCAGTTTTTTTTTTTTTTTTTTAAAGTGCCAACGTCTTTTCCTGCCTTAGTGCCTTTGCAGTTATTCCTTCTGTCTGGAATATTTTGCCCTGGAATATTTTACCCCTTATGTCTGCCCATCTAGTTCAGCTGAAATGACTCCACTGTAGAAAGGGCTTTCCTGATTATCTAGTCTGAGTATCTCCCAGTTTATCTTTTAAACATCACTTTAAAAAATCATAGCATTGATTAGTACTAGATTCTTGATTTTGTTTTCTCTTTCCCCCTCCCCAGCTAGAATGTAAATCTCGAAGAGAACAGACACCTTGCCTGTTGTTTATTTTTAAATTTTTATCTATTGTCACATACTCAAGTATGATCACCTGTATTGTTTATTTTTACTCTTCCTGCACCTAGATACTAAGTGCCTGACAAATACTTGTTGAATATTTGAATATAATATAAATTATGAAAAAATGATCCATAATTATACTTTCCAGAGATAAATTACCATTGTTGATAGTATAGTAGATATTTTCTAATTTTATGTTCTGTGTGTGTTTACATATACAGATGTCTATGATGATGCTTTTGAAATATGTATACCATTGAGTCTAAAGATAAACATTTTTTGCTATATATTATGTCTTTGAAGTTGGGCTGTCTTATAATCAAGAGTATGCTGTGGTTTAATTGGCAACATTTTTCTCTTTATGAGTTGCTCATAAATATGTCTTAAAATCTATAGCATCTTAGATGTGATGAAGCACAGTATGTATTTTAAACAAAAATGCGATCAGGATGTTCATCTCTTTTCCCCACTTGAAGATCTTGAGCATTTTCCTTGTCACTAGTTTTAGGTCTATCTTATTCTCAAGAGATATAACTAAGGGTGTGTCATAACTTTTTCAACCAATTCCTCCTGATGTATATTTGGAGCTTTTCCAATTATTTTCCTTTATAAAAAGTGCTGTGCTGATTATTCTTGTACATATCTTTATGCACGTGAGCAAAATTTCTTTAATTAGATAGATTGGTGTGTACACATATTCTCTGTAGTGTACAAGGGTACCTACTTCCCTACACCTTTGTGAGTACTGCATCTTAGTAAATTTAAAAATTTTTATTAATGTAAGTGAAAAATATCCTAATGTTTTAACATAATTTCTTTAATTGTGAAAGAGAGCCTCTTTTCCTGTTTATTAGGTGTTTTTATTTCCTTTTCTGTGATGTACTTGGGCGTAGGATAGTAGGCTTTTAATTGGCTGGCAGATTAGTCCTAATTAGAGAAATCTTTCCAGTTTGGAACCATGCAGTATCCTGTTAATTCTTGGGAACAACTTTTAGGCCTGCCACATCCTACCCTGTGGAGGACAAGAGGGCTTTATAAGGACCCAGGATTTGGGGAGAGACAGAATTCAGGAATAACTAGAATTCTGGTGTCCTTTATAATGGGGGCCAAGAAGGACCATAGTGTCAGTTTTTGAGCTGAATACTGGAACTATGCTGTTAGTCTTTAAACTTTAAATGTTCTTCTTCTCAGGCCTTGTTGTTCTTTAGTATGACTTGGTTATAGTATAGTAGTATTAGTTTATTAGGTTTGAAATAGGATACAACTCTGGGACTTGAGTGAAGTCAGTATTGAACCTAGAGATTAAATGTCTAGATTAATATGGTTTTTTGCACATTGTTAAAATGTTCTTAACATTTTTTAGTACCTTTGCTGTGTCAAACCGTATCAGTTTCAAACTTAGCTATCAGATGATCTCTGCTTTTTGTGTTCCACAGTGGTCTGTGGAGGAACAGATTTCAGACCTTTGGTAAAAGTGAAGCTACAATATACATAGAATATGAATAGCTCACAGGAAGGTTTTTAGTCTAGCATGGAATTTGTTTAAAGAAGGCTTCCTGGAGGAGATATGATAACCCTAACTAAGTCTTGAAGGATGAGTATGAGTTAGCTGCAGCAGTAAGTACCTGTAGTAAAAGGAACAACAGTGAAATGAACTACAAATAGTAGAGTGTTCTTAGAATATAATAACTGAGGTGAAGAGTGACTTATTGTGAGGCTGGAGTCACAAGTAAGAACCAAGTAATGAAAGGCCTGGAACACCCTGTATTTAATAGGTTAAGGGATCATTTTGAGCAATGATGGGGGTCGAGTTAGCATTTTAGAGATCACTGCCCAAAGACTGATTTAGGGGCAAGACTGAAGGCCAGGAGACATGTTGGGAAACAGTTCTAGTAATCCAGGTGAGAGAACTAAGGCTATAGCTCAGTGGTGATAGCTTACTGGGAAAATTGTAGTCATTTTTCTTAGTTTATGTAACATTTGGCTCTCTATTGTTCAGAATCCCATTGAGATGACATTTCATTGAATGAGGTTTATTATTTTGCAGAGATAAGTTATGTTAATTATCCAATCATCTTTCACTTATGTCTGTAGGAAGTTTATAGTTTTACATATACCTGCTTAACTAGTATGGTGCTACATGGAGATAGTATTAAATAAGTGTTTTTGATTATTTTAAAAATCGAGAAATGTTAGCCCTTTTGGTGTGTCTAGTGATTATCTTAGAGGGAAAGAATTTTAGAACATTTTGCTTTTGTGTAAAAGCAATGACTTGTTAGCTTAAATTTATATCTAATTTATTAACTTACAGGAATTTATCATTTCTGTGTGCTAATTTCTTTTTCTTTTTTTAAAAGGCTATTAGTGAAAGATGGTGGATCGCTTGGCAAACAGTGAAGCAAATACTAGACGTATAAGTATAGTGGAAAACTGTTTTGGAGCAGCTGGTCAACCCTTAACTATACCTGGACGAGTTCTTATTGGAGAAGGAGTATTGACTAAGTTGTGCAGGAAAAAGCCCAAAGCAAGGCAGTTTTTCTTATTTAATGATATTCTTGTATATGGCAATATTGTCATCCAGAAGAAAAAATATAACAAACAACATATTATTCCCCTGGAAAATGTCACTATTGATTCCATCAAAGATGAGGGAGACTTAAGGAATGGATGGCTAATCAAGACACCAACTAAATCTTTTGCAGTTTATGCTGCCACTGCTACGGAGAAATCAGAATGGATGAATCACATAAATAAATGTGTTACTGATTTACTCTCCAAAAGCGGGAAGACACCCAGTAATGAACATGCTGCTGTCTGGGTTCCTGACTCTGAGGCAACCGTATGTATGCGTTGTCAGAAAGCAAAATTCACACCTGTTAATCGTCGCCACCATTGCCGCAAATGTGGTTTTGTTGTCTGTGGGCCCTGCTCTGAAAAGAGATTTCTTCTTCCCAGCCAGTCCTCCAAGCCTGTGCGGATTTGTGACTTCTGCTATGACCTGCTTTCTACTGGGGATATGGCCACATGCCAGCCTGCTAGATCAGACTCTTACAGTCAGTCATTGAAGTCTCCTTTAAATGATATGTCTGATGATGATGATGATGATGATAGCAGTGACTAAGACCACACTTTCGAGTACTTCATCAGGTGTGGCTGAGAAATCAACTTTGGGGGAAATGTAGATTCTGCGCGCGCTCTTTGTTTTGTTTTAGCCATGAATTTGCCTGAGAAACTTGTAACCTATGTGCCTCAATATATTCCATAGAAAGTAGGTCCCCCTGCCTTCTCCCACTCCTCACACTCTTCTACAGGGATAGACTTTTGCAAATATATCAGATAAATTTTTTGTTTCTTGTTGTTTATTTTTAGGTTATTTTCTTGGAAGGTTGGGAAAAAATGTTTGTTTAACAGATGATGTACTACATTGTTTTCATTTCTGTTGTATGGTAAAACTAAAAGCACAGAATTATGGGAAAGGGGTTACAGTGTGGTTCATTAATAATGCTGGTAGCTTTTTTCTAACCATCCTGTTTAATGGTTAAGACACCAGTAACAAAAACACATGATTTGGAAATACTTTGGCTTTTTCACATACCTAGTGGTGCCTTATCATAATAGCACTGTTACATGAAATAAGCCCCTACCTTCTTACTTTCTGGTTTGATGAAAAAAAGACACTGGTGCTCTTTGAAGTGATAAAGTGAGTGTTTATGAATGGGTGTAATTAGGAAATACTTCTCACCTGACAACTACAAATAACTAAGTTTGGAGGTATTTTGACTCGATATGAATAAATATTTTTCCACAAAATAGTTGTGATTATATTTTTTGTTTTACATAGGTCCCAAATTATAATTGTCAAATATATTTTTAAAATTAATAATAGGTTGTCATTCTTAGGAATTTGGTTTGAAATTTATCAGTTCCATAGAATTGTCATACTGCATTAGCTTCTACTTTTACTTAAACATATTTTTAGACATACATTCATCTGCTTTAACATTATTTCTGGGTTGAAAATCTTCTTCTAAAACCCTTGAAAATAAACAACCTCTTTTTTACAGAGCCCATGTTAGAGCATAGATTTACTTAGGCTTGAAGACCTGGAAGAAATAATGTGTAAGAATGGTCTTAAGGCAGACCACTTTAAGTTTGGCTAGACTTCATGTCGTGGAAGTATTGTCTATTTCAGTGTGAAACTATCTTGAATTTGCAAATATAGTGTTATATTTTATAAAGTTTTGTAAAGTCCCAAACAATATTTCTATTTTTGTAAAACAGTTGTATATGTAATCTGTATGTGAAATCATTTTGCAATCTATGAAAATAGAGTAGCAATTGCTATTTCTAAATTGTGAACTTTAAGTCAGTCTAGATTTCTTTTGAGAAGTGACTTTTTGCTTTTGAGGCAGCCATTAGGTTGAAAATATATATTTATCATATAAAACTTGATGCATTTTGCACTACTTTCTCCGTTTATATGCTGCAAACAACTACAGTCTTTGAAATATGGAAAATCAGCAGTCTAAAGTTTGTTTTAAATTCTAAATTAAAAAAAATCAAGTCTAAATATACTGCAAATGTCCTGAGAGGTTTGATTCAATAACTTGTGATGGAGGACCCTTTGGTATCTTACTGTTTGGTTAAAGCACTAATTTTACTTACCTATTAAATTTTGAAAGCATCTGAGATATACAAATCTCCCTGTAGGAAATATGAAAGAAAAGCACAACAAAACTAGGGGTTTTTGTTCATTTGCTTGCTTTTATGATTCTTTTGTTTTGTTTTTTTTTTTTTTTTTTTAAACGGGGTTTTGCTCTTATTACCTAGGCTGGAGTGCAATGGCGCGATCTCGGCTCACCGCAACCTCCACCTCCTGGGTTCAGGCAATTCTCCTGCCTCAGCCTCCAGAGTAGCTGGGATTACAGGCACGCGCCACCATGCCCAGCTAATTTTTGTATTTTTTAGTAGAGAGGGGGTTTCACCATGTTGACCAGGATGGTCTCGATCTCTTGACCTCGTGATCCACCCGCCTCGGCCTCCCAAAGTGCTGGGATTACAGGCGTGAGCCACCGCGCCCGGCCCTTCTTTTGGTTTTTTTAATATCAGGTGGATTTTTATTTCTAAGCAATATATACATAACAATCAACCAACATATCTGAAAAGGATCATGAAACCTGAGAAATGCTAATGGAGGCTTGCTGGTACATAGGAATCTAGCAAATTCAGGAACCAAGGGGAATGTTCTGAGATAACATTTACATTGTCAACTTTTATTGACTTTGTTTTTACAATAAAAAATATTTTACAACACTTTCTGTTCTCTGTATATTGTGACTTGAGGATTTCCTTCCTTTGCTAAGCTAAAAAAGATATGCATATTTTGCCTAATCATTCAACAGCTGTGAGTGCCTGCTATGTGCCAGCCATTGTCTAGACAGTAGGTTACAGCAGTGAACAAAACTCCCTTTTGGGTATACCACACGTAAGCTCAGAAAACAAACATTCTTCCAAATGCTGAAGATAAGACTTAATGTTATTGAGAACTGCCTTTATATAATTTGGCTTTGCTGTCCAATTACTGTCAGAAGGAATGACTGGCCTGAATTGACATTTCTCAGAAGGAAATGTACACGTGGCTGACAGGTATATGGAAAAATGCCCAAGATCACCAATCAGGGAAATGCAAATTAAAACCACAATGAGATAATTACTATAACTGAGACCTGTTGAAAGACTGTTATCAAAAAGATGAAAGAGAAGTGTTGGGAAGGATATGAAGAAAAGGAGATCCTTGCACACAGTTGGTAGGAATGTAAAGTAGTACAGCCATTATGGAAAACAGTAGAGGTTCCTTGAAGAGTAAAAACAGAACTACCCATAGCATCTAGCAATCCCACTGCTAAGTATATACTAACATCTGAAGAAAATGAAATCAGTATGTTGAAGAGATATCTGCACTTCCATGTTCATTGCAGCATTATTCACAGTAGCCAAGATATGGAATCAACCTAAGTGTCTGTCAACAAATGAATGGATAAAGAAAATGTGGTCCATATACACAGTGGAATACTCTTCAGCCATAAAAAGTTAAATCCTGTTACTTGTGACAACATGGATAGAACTGGTGGACATTATGTTAAGTGAAATGTACCAGGCACAGAAAGACAAATACCTCATGATGTTGCTTATATGTGGAATCTAAGAAAGTTGAGCTCCTAGAAGCAGGAGTAGAATGATGGTTACCAGGGGCCGGTTGAGGGGGTGAGAGTGGGAGATGCTGGCCAAAGGATACAAAATTTCAGTTAGGAGAAATAAATTCAAGAAATCTATTGTACAATATGATGACTAGCTAATAACAATGTATTCTTTAAAATCAGTAGATTTTGTGTTCTCACCACAGAAACTGGTAAGTATGTAATGTAATACATGTTAATTCACTCAATCTGCCCATTCCACAACATATCCATTCTTCAAAACATACACACAGTACTGTGTGTGTGTGTGTGTGTGTGTGTGTGTAAGTTTCTGTCAGTTTTTTTTAAAAAATAGGCCAGGTGGAAGGATCACTTGAGCCCAGGAGTTCAAAACCAGCCCAACATGGCAAGGCCCCCAACTCTACAGAAATAAAAAATTAGCTGGTCATGGTGGCATGCAACTGTGGTCCAAGCTACATAGCTACATGGAGACTGAGGTGGGATGATAGCTTGAGCCCAGAAGGTTGAGGCTGCAGTGAGCTGTGTTCATGTCACTGCACTCCAGCCTGGACAACAGAGCAAGATCCTGTCTCACAAAATATGTTTGAAAAGAATGACTCAAGATAAACTATTTTGACTTAAACCATTACAAAAGTAATTGGGTAAAATCCTAAGTTTAGATTTTTGATACAGATCCTGCTTTCTTATAGAAATATTCTAATGACTTAAAACCAAAATTCCATAGCTACTTATACCTTTTCAATCAATAAATATGTATTCAGTACTTTTTTTTTTTTTTTTTTTTTTTTGCTAAGATGAAGTCTTGTTCTGACAGCCAGGCTGGAGTGCAATGGCTGTTCACAGGTGTGATCATAGCACACTGCAGCTTCAAAATCCTGGCCTCAAGATCATCCTGCTTCAAGTTTCCTGAGTAGCTGGGACCACAGGTATGAACCACATAGTACCTGGCCTTAATTAATACTTTTAATATGTTTACTATCATTAGAATGAGCTGGAACAGCAATTTATTCCTTATTTTCATGACCTTGTTATTTTTTAAAATCATGCACCAGTGATTTTGTAGAATAAACCTTGATTAGGGGTTGATGTCTTCTCATTATTAAATTCAGGTTATGTATCTGTGTAGCATAAATATCAGAAGCTGTAGTCTCATCAGATGGTGCTCAATTTTGTTTCATGGCTTATATTCACTTTGACCACTTGATTAAGGTGGTGTATCCCAGAATTCATTGTAGAGTTACTCTTTTTATATTTTTCAGGTGGTACTTTTGAGATTATATAAATATTATGGTCCTCATCAAACTTACAGTTCATTTACTTTTCAATATGAACTCAGTTTCCTGAATCAGTGGCTCTCAAACTTGAGTGTGTGACAATCTTTTGGGGAGCTAATTAAAACATAGACTGCTGGGTCTCTTCTCTAGAGTTCCTGATTCTGTAGGAATGGAGACCTGAGAATGTTCATTTCCAACAAGTTTCTGGCTGGCATTGTTACTGCTGCTGGCCCAGAGACCACACTTTATTACTTGTTATTGTCATTATTTTGATGCTTAAACTGTCTCTAATTTGGTCAGTGGCAAGCTGGCTTCTGTGCCCTATTGACAGATCTTCATTAGTTGAACGCTTCTTTTTGCTACAAGATGTTCCAGGTTCATCTTGTATAAGATGAACTTTCCCTGTCCTAACCCCGGAACTGGCCATTTCCTCAAGGAGCCCTGGTTTCTTTTAGTGCTAAGTGGTACTTAGAAGCCAAGAGCTGAGAACCAGGTGTGCTCATTGCCTTAGGGAAAGTACTACTCCCAGGCCTTTTCAGGGGACAAATCTAGAGAGCATTAGTATATACATATGTACACATTCCTATTTAAACTTCTTTATTTATTGAAATCCATGACATCATACAGATGCCTCCAATTCTAACCATACTATAGGGCTCCACCCTTCTCTTTACATTAAGGAACTGGGTCTCACTAGCTTTAAGATTTTTAAATTATTTGATCAGTCTCCCTGCATATAACCAATCTCTCATCACCACTGCCCCTCTCCCACATGGACATCCTCCTCGCGCTCCTAAGGCCCTGACACTTCACACCTGGCTGCTCCTATCGTAGATGCTCCTTGCCTACTTGAGCTCCAACACCTTCTGCTGGCTCCCCCGCGCTGCCCTGGACATCCTTCTCTCTAGTACTGCATTCTGGGCTGCCCTCACAGATGAATGCTCTCCACACCTCATTTGGGCTCTAGCACTGGACACTGGACCTCCTCTGTGGCATGGGGATGCTCTCCTCACCCTGCCTACTACCTCTGACCTGCCACTCTGGGCTACCCACATGTGAGCACATTGTACCCTGCTTGATCTCTGATTCTTCTCACTGGGTCACCTGCATACCTGAGCACCCTCCTCTCTCTGCTTGAGTCTTGATACCAGGCCCTAGGCCTTCCCTCTGTGGATGCCCTCACAATAATCCTCTGCGTGGAATCTAGAACTGTGCCCCAAACTGCCCACATAGGAGGGTGCCCTCCCCCTTCCCTCTCCTGAGGCTTGGACCAGCATGTCAGGCTGCTTCCCCATGTGGACACCTCGCCCTCTGGGCTCTCTCTGCACTGGCTGCCCTATCCCAGTGCCACCACCACCCTCTACCTGTCATCATTGCCACTCTCAGCCAGCCCTGGCTCTGACCCTCAACACCAGGCTGCTTCTCCACATAGGTGCTTGCCTTGCTCTGGCCCACTTAATGGCTTTACGGCTGAGTTGTTCAGAAGGAGGAGGGAAGGATTATGGCCATAGTGTCATATACATAATAGTAAGTCTTAGAGAGAAGGAAAGAGAAAAAAGAAGGAAGGAGAAAAAATGTCTTTTTAAAACAAAGTCACCTGGAAGGAAGGGAAAGCAGAAAGGAGAATATATTTTTAAAACAAACTCCCCTGGAGGTGCGGGAGGGAGTGAACAATCTTTTTAAAACAAACTCACCTGGCAGCATAAACAAGACAGATAAAACCAGAGCTCTCAAGCTGTTCTGCCTGAAGAAGGGGTTGGAGAACTAAGAAAGGAAGGAAGAAAGGAGAATATATTTTTAAAACAAATTCACCTGGGAGGAGAGAGGGAAGGACGAAATGAGGAAGGGAAGAAGAAAAGGAAAGGAAGGGAGGTTTTTTGTTTGTTTTTTTTTTTGGAGTCAGAGTCTCTCTCTCTCTCCCAGGCTGGAGTGCAGTGGTGCAATCTCGGCTCACTGCAACCTCTACCTCCCAGGTTCAAGTGATTCTCATGCCTCAGCCTCCTCTTGAGTAGCTGGGATGACAGGCGTCTGCCACCACTCCCAACTAATTTTTGTATTTTTTAAGACATGAGGTAGGCTGGAGGGAGGAGACTTAGGATCTTGATTTAGATGAGGAATTTATGAATGGAATTTATTGGATTTTTAAGAGTTTTGGTTAAATGAATCAAAAGTCATGACTTGGAAGTACACAATTCTCCAGAAATTATTTGAAAGTTAATTTCTGTGATGTGAAA